AGTCCTTGGGCTTCCCCCCTGCACGTTGTTCCCAAATCGAACGCCGGGTTCCGCCCGTGCGGGGATTACCGCCGACTCAACGACGCCACTACGCCTGACCGCTATCCGGTGCCGCACATTCAGGACTTTTCGGCGCATCTGGCCGGTACGGGGGTGTTTTCCAAGGTGGACCTGGTGCGTGGATACCACCAGGTGCCCATGCACCCCCTGGACATTCCCAAGACAGCAGTGATAATGCCTTTTGGACTTTTTGAGTTCCTGCGGATGCCTTTTGGACTCAAGAATGCCGGCTCAGACGTTCCAGCGCCTGATGGATTCGGTGCTGCGGGACCTGCCGTTTGTGTTTGTTTACCTCGACGACATACTCGTCGCCAGCGCTTCAGTGCAGGAGCACCTGTCCCACCTCCGAGCCCTTTTCACACGGCTCAACGAACACGGATTAATCATCAATCCTGCAAAGTGCCAGTTCGGGGTGTCGGACATCGATTTCCTGGGGCACCGCGTCACCAAGGGCGGTGCGACACCTCTGCCAGCGAAGGTGGAGGCTGTTGCGGCGTTTCCTCGCCCGGTCGCTCCGTGAGTTTCTGGGGATGGTGACTTTCTACCACCGTTTCATCGCCCGGGCCGCACACATCATGCGGCCGCTGTATGAAGCGTTGAAAGGCAAGACCCCCGTCCAGGAGATCGACTGGACAGCAGAGGCGGACGGCGCTTTTGCTGAGGTCAAGACCGCGTTGGCTCAGGCGGCTTTGCTGGCACACCCATCATCTACGGCTCCCATCTCCATCACCACGGACGCGTCAGACTACGCGGTCGGCGCAGTGCACGAGCAGTGGGTGGATGGCGCTTGGCAGCCGCTCGCCTTTTTCAGCCGCCAGCTGACGCCTAGAGAACGCAAATACAGCGCCTTTGACCGGGAGCTCCTCGGACTTTATTTGGCCGTGCGGCACTTCCGTTTCATGCTGGAAGGCCGTGAATTTACGGCGTTTGTCGACCACAAGCCGCTCACCTTCGCCATGTCAAAAGTGGCGGAGCCTTGGTCGGTACGTCAGCAGCGGCAGCTGTCCTACATATCGGAGTTCACTACGGACATTAAGCACGTGACTGGCAAGTCGAACCTGGTTTCTGATTGCCTCTCCAGGGTCGTCATCGGTGCCGTCCAGTTGGGCCTGAACTATACTCGCATAGCGGCAGACCAGGTCACAGATCCCGGCGTCCAGGCCCTGAAGGTGGAGAGCGCGGGGCTGCGCTTGGAGGACGTGGTGTTCGGCGACGCGGGCATTACTCTCCTGTGTGACGTCTCTACGGGCCTGGCGCGGCCTGTCGTCCCTGCCAGCTGGAGGCGTCCTGTGTTCGAGGCTGTGCACGGCCTGTCACACCCCGGCGTTAAACCTTCGGTGCGTTTGGTAGCGGCGAAGTTTGTTTGGCAAGGACTGAAAAGGGACGTGAGGACTGCGTGGCTTGTCAACGCGCTAAGGTGCACCGCCACACGAGAAGGCCCCGTTGGAGCGTTTCCTGGTGCCTGAGAGGAGGTTTGATCACGTCAACATTGACCTGGTTGGTCCGTTGCCTTCCTCAGGGGTTTTCCTACCTCCTCACCATGGTGGACAGAACGACCCGTTGGCCGGAGGCGGTTCCGCTCGTTTCGACATCAGCCGCAGACGTTGCCCGGGCCTTCATTGCAACGTGGGTGTTTCGTTTTGGCACCCCGTCAGACATTTCCTCAGACAGGGGCTCTCAGTTCACGTCCGAGCTCTGGAACGCTGTGGCAGGCGGTTTGGGGGTTAAGCTGCACAGGACTACCGCTTACCACCCTCAGGCTAACAGCCTCTGCGAGCGCTTTCATCGCTCCATGAAGGCGGCCCTCAAAGCCGGCCTTACGGACGGTAACTGGGTCGACAAGCTGCCCTGGGTGATGCTGGGCCTGAGGACCGCACCTAAGGAAGATCTGCAGTGTTCTACAGCGGAGATGGTCTACGGTCAGCTGCTGAGAGTTCCGGGGGATTTCCTCCCAAATGCATCGGCTCCCTGGTCGGCGTCGGCCCAGCGGGCTTTCCTGCGTGACGCCGCTGAGGCCTTTGCTCCGATCCCTACTACTCAGCACGGTACTCAGGTGTCCCAGGTTCCTGCAGAGCTCCGCTCGGCGGAGCACGTGTTCATCCGGCATGATGCGCACAGAGGCCCCCTGCAGCCCGCTTATGATGGGCCTTTCCGGGTCTTGGAGCACGGGGACAAGCACCTGGTGGTCGACCTGGGTGGCAAGGCCGAGCACGTCTCGGTGGACCGGGTGAAGGCTGCTCACCTGGACTTGGACCAGCCTGTGGTGCTGGCTCGACCTCCGCGACGGGGCCGCCCCCCGGCCTCGTCCCCTGTCACGGATTTAAGACCTGTTGTTCCGGTCCCTCCCCTTCCGGGGGCCGCACAGGCGGGAGTCACTTTTCCGACTCCCGTGCTCAGGAGTCGTGGGGGTCGGCGTGTCGTTCCTCCCCGCCATGCTGATTTTGTTTATGTGTGAATTCTGGGGGGGCTTGTGTGGTGACACGTTATTGGACATAATTCACCTTGCTTATTGTGTTGCCACACGGACCCTTTAGTGGGGAACACCTGTAGCTTTAGCTGCCATTCCTGCTAGCTCATCAGGCAGAGCAGTGCATGTGTTAACCTCTCTGAAGTAATGGATAATAAAGATTGGAACTCCATTCTTAATACACCGCCTCCGACTCTCTTTTCACAGCACTACAATACAGACTTACTCCAAACTGCCAAATATATTAATTAACACACTCTCACTCTCTTTGACTCTATGTTGGCCTAGTAGAACAATAAGCAGCAGACTTTTACTTTTTTATCATTTCTACTGGATCTTAGATCTGTGCATGCGCAATACGGGTCGGATTGACCAACCGGCTCCCACTGCTCTGCTGTCTGTTAACTTTGTTAAGAGTGGTGGGGGCGGGGAGGGAGCGGATCGACAGCTTGAGCAGCTGTCAACTCAACATTGTAAATAACCAACCAAAAACGATCGCCGGTTCATCTTGTTTTTGGCGTGAGAATAGTTTGGGCAACATGAGAGCGTGAGATTGAGAGTGAAAGCGTGTGTCACACGCCAGATGCGTGAGAGTTGGCAACCCTGTACTAACGTAAATTATCATTACACCTGGGTAAAACAGAGTCCATTCTCTTCGATTCGAAACATAATCTCAGCAAATCCGACGACTTCTCAGTTGCAGTGGGTGACATTATTGTCACAAGTAAGAAGGAAATTACATACCTAGGATCTATTCTTGAGGCAAACCTCTCCTGTGACAAAATGGCATCCAATGTAATAAAAAAAGTCAATCAAAGAACTAGATTCCTATACCGGATCTCCTCTGGTAAACAAAAACACCCTGAAAACTCTGGCAGGAGCACTCATTCAAGGGTACTATGACTATGCTTGCACGTCATGGTACCATAGCACCTCCAAGGCGCTAAAAATAAAACTTCAAACATCGCAAAATAAACTGGTCAGACTACTGCTTGACCTTTCATCTAGAACCCACCTCACCTCTGCCCACTTTGACAACCTAGGATGGCTTAGAGTAGACGACAGAGTACAGCTACTTGCAATGGGCCTGGTCTACACCTCTATGGTACCCATGTACATGTCAAAATTCTTCCCAAAGGTCAAGGAATACCATGATCATAACACCAGAGGGAGCTCCACAAATCATGTGAAACCCAGATTTGGCACAAAAAAGGGGGAATACATGTTTCGCAATTATGCCACATCAAGGTGGAACACTCTTCCCACAACTGTAAAGGAAAGTAAAACTATACTTACCTTCAAAACCTCTCTTAAAGAGCACCTTCGGGGGAGAGCATTGCAAAACTGGCCCCGGTAATGGTACAAATCTCAACCTGTCGTTCAATGGACAGCTTCCCCCCCCATCTATGTATATAGGCCTACTCGCATTTTAGACTCTGTTACTAACTGTATATCTGTAGACTTGGTAGGCTATGTCTTAAATGTCCGGTTAGGATGTATTAGAACGAAATCTAAAATGAAAATTGTAAATAAGCAATCTGTATGTAAAAAACCACCTGTATGTAAATTGTAAATAAGCCATCTGTATGTCAAATATGTCTTATATGTCTTATATGTCTTATATGTCTTAAATGATATGATGAATTGGAAATGGGGGACCCTGATGTAAACAAGACGAAAGTCTTTCTATGGTCTGCATCCCCTTAACAATTGTATGTTTTGAGCTGTACTGTACTGTACCCAATATACAAGCTGTTAATAAACTTTTCAATCAATCAATCAAAACGTTACTATAGCATGCTGTTCACAGACAGTTGCCTCGTCTAGGAGGAAAAGCACAACGGACACTGATGACGCTAACGATGGCTGTGTTCCATTCAGTCTCCCAGTGAGTAACTCCAGTGAGCTCGCATGCACAACACCGGGACATCCCCTAATTGGAACGCAGCCATCATTATTTGTATTGAATCCACCTGTGCATTTCCTACCGTGACGATTTAAATGAGCTACCTTCTGATTGGTTTGTGCTATGCTCATGTGTTGTGGATGTTACCGTTTGAAACAGGCTGAGGACGATTCAATGTTCTCACCACTGGGAGGCAGTCTTTGCTTACACTCCCATATTTTAAAATGAGCTTAAAATTAACACATAGGTGATATTATAAAAGACACATATTACACAATATGTCAGTTGTTTTCCTATTAAAAATGTTTTGTCAAAAAATCCGTTTGAATACATTTATTGTTTCATATTATTTAAAGCAGGGATATCGAACTGAATAGTTAAATCTGCATCATGTAGTTCATTTCTACTTCTGTGTGTAATAACTTCTAAATAACCCGTGCTGTGTGTCTTAACAAAATGATATCATTCACGGTTTCAATGTAGCCTTATATGAAATTGTGTGTATGCTTATACAATATATTTGATTAGTTTCAAACACCAGCATACAAAGAAAGCACATACAACCTATTACTTAAGAACATTTTTTATTCAACAGCGGATCTTCGGTAATAAATAAATGTACAGATAATTCATTCCACAATAAAATTGAGGGAAAGTTGTATTTTTTTTTAAATATAAATGTCCAAGTGGAGGATTGATATTGCCATGATGGGTAAACATAATTGACCAGACAGAGAGACGGAGTGACGCAGAGAGGCTGACAGACAGACAGACAAATAGACGATTACCACACAGATGTGTACAAAGTATTGCGTTTCTCACTGATTGGCTCTCTCATCTCTCTCTTTCTCCCTCCCTACATGGATCAAATGCAAAGTCTATTCAGTTTACCATCACCATGATGTGCAAATCAATCATAAATTATAAATACAGTATTGCATCACTTCAAAGTGCTACAGAGATAGGTGCCGACAATCTTCAAAAACAGAAACAGATTTTATTTGAAACCCTGTGTGTGTGTGTGTGTGTGTGTGTGTGTGTGTGTGTGTGTGTGTGTGTGTGTGTGTGTGTGTGTGAGCAACCATGATGGTTCTGTGCCTTTGGATTTCTAGCACAGTGTAAAGCTTAGCCTGGTCAAAAGCAGAAGCAATACAAACATCGTCTAAAAGTGTGACATTATGAAAATGGCGTGATGTTTGGCTTTGACGTCCAGAAAGTGGAGATGTGTGGACAATCTTCAAAAACAGAGAATCTAAAACTAAATAATAACTTTTATTGGATTATAAAACGTTTCGTAAAAACCCAAAGCTATCTTCTCTTTATTACTTCATCACGCTTCATTTTTCAGTATGGATTTAAAAGGGGAAATCAATCAGTCTCTAGTGGAAAGGGTCCCTGATATTTGCTCAGCATTGTCTTTGAAAATATGGCCGATAGGAACAAATGTTGCCTCTAAATTGTCGCACATGTTCTCATATAAAAGATGTAGAAGCACACATGACAAATGTATTTTTTTCTCTAGACATCAAATTCTCATTCTTTTCAGTTTATGTTAAGGTGTCTATTAATGGTTAAGGAAGTTTGTTTTGTAGCTTTGGAAAACACTGCTTTCATTCTTTTTTATGGTGGGTCAGGCTGAAAAATGGCCTTTCCAAATGTTGAATTATAATATCAAATATTGAATTGCTCAAATACATTATGTTTGTATCCATCTGTGAGAGATGAAGAGAGAAGCTTCAGACATTGTGGAATTAGAGTCTGTACTGCACTGCTGAAATGCTCACGTTTCTTATGTTTGACCAACACTCAGCAATCGGCTTTCTAGCAGCACGCCAACATCTTTAGGACACCTTTGTGAACAAGGCACAAACATCTGTAAAGGACCATTCGGGGGTGATGCACATTTCAGCCAATAACCAAAACAAAGAACATTTTCCAAAGCATCCTACTGGAGCTAGTGTTAGCAGAAAATAACCTTAAAACACATGTATTTCTTTGGAAATGGTTCATAGCGAAGAAAAATAGTATTGATGTTAAATCATACATAACCAGCTGAACGGTCCTTTACGTGGTCGTCTTGCAGAACCACTGTGCTTCAAATTCTGCCCTCTGATCAGAAAAAGCTTTTTAGCAGTTGTCCTTCTCCTACAGCTTTTATTACAGCGCTTTCGTCGAAAAAACAACGTTTTAGTAATGTAGCAGTAGCTGTTCCCTTCAGTGGGGTTTCCCAGTCCATTTACCAGGGCCCTGGCCTTCATTTGGCATCTTATTTGATTTATTTAGCCTCTTCAGTGAGGAGATGAGGAGCAGAGGAGAGGGGGCGGACAGGGTGAAGATGAGACAGAGATGAGAGGAGGGAAGGAATATAAAAGGATGAAAAGGGGAGATGAGAGGGGAGAGGACGGTGTAGGCGGGGGGGGCAGAGAGAGGAAGAGGACGTATGAAAGACAGGAAGCCCCGGTCGGAGCACCTGTCACGGAAGAGGCTCCTGCTTTCTATCACCGTCCCCTCGCCTCTCTTTTCCATCCATCTGCCAACAGGAGGGACACCCAAAGGGGAAAGAGCGGGTGCTTAAAATTCTCCTTCCTTCCTGTGTCCATCTCCTCTCCTAAAGGCCTGTCCTCTCCATAGCAACCAACCCTGTCTTCATACTGAGCTTATTCAGTTGGTAGTCATGAATGTGTGTGTGTGTGTGTGTGTGTGTGTGTGTGTGTGTGTGTGTGTGTGTGTGTGTGTGTGTGTGTGTGTGTGTGTGTGTGTGTGTGTGTGTGTGTGTGCGTGCGTGCGAGGCAGAGCGAGAGAGTGTTTGCTGCTGCTCATGCCTCTGTGTCAGTGCATGTTGTTGAGTTTCAAAGAAGAGTGTGTATCTTCTGTTAACGTCAGTCTGACACTTTAGATTTGAAAGACAGTTCATTTTTTGGTCTATTTGAAGAAACCTTGTGTTAAAATGGAAGGAGCGTTGGCTGGTTTCTGTAAAAACATTTGTTCAGTCTTCGAGTTTTGAATCAGGCACCGCGACGCTTCTCACCTCCCTGTCCTGGAAGCATGTACATACCGGTCAGTAAGACTGACAGATCTTCCCGCCAATGGCAGTCTGTGAGTCAGTTAATTGGGTAAAGGCTGCGATTGGCTAACCATCAGCATCCGGGGGACGTTGTGAGTGGGCCGTGGTGCAGGTAGGCGGCGTTCACCACGGAAACAGGGAAGTTAAAAATGAACGGAGAGGTGGGCGTGGCCGACGTCACCGTGGTGACCGTGGAGGACTTGGGTCCGAGCAGCGGGCTGGCCGTGGCGGCCGCCTCGGCAGCACACGAGGTGGCGAGGAGCTGCGACTCGAACTGCAGCAGCTGGCCCATGAAGCTGAAGTTGGGGGAGATGATGCTGCGCCGCCGCCGCACAAACTCAAAGGCTTCGTCAAGACGCACCCTCTTCCTCTTCATCAGGTAGGCTAAGCAGATGGTGGCGGAGCGGGAGATGCCTGCCTGACAATGGACCAGGACCCGCCCACTGGAGTCACGTACCGAATCTGTGGAGAGAGGAGGGTCATAGGTCAGAAGTTTTACTAGCTAATTATTGTTTATTTGACTGTACAGCACTTTGGTCTGGAGATTTGAGTGTTTTATAAATAAAGCTGTATTGTATCATTCAGTTTGACAAATATCTTTAGACAGAAATATCACTATTTAATAGATTGCCATAGATTTAGTACAGATGTTCATGCTCACCAGAGGACGTCCTTATTATTTCATCTAGATTTACCAGTCAAATATGGCAACCTCTACTAAATGGATTCGTCGAGATTTAGAATATTCTCACACTTTATCCTAATTTTCAATTTTGGCATCAGATGTTGTACATTCATGGTTCCCAGATGAGGTACCCTGATGACTTTAATTGTAAAAAAAATGACATTCATGCTCAATTTCAGTCATGGATATTGGCACTTTTCCAGGGTATGTGTTAAATGTAATTAAAGGGCTCCATCATGTTTATAGCAGTTCATATGAGGATGCATGTTAACCTGGTCCTACTTACCATAGCCTTATGGCACCTTCAAATGTAAATCTCAGTTTAAAAGAGAATATCATATTTCATTTACAAATCTTTCCCCATGCTTAGCTCCTAATCTTTAGTTATTCGTGGGAAAATATTGTTGTGCTTTCTGAACGGACGAAGAAAGGAATTTTATATCAACGATTTTCCATCATCAAACTAATTGTTACCCGTAGTGCCATTTTTTTAACAGACGTACAGCTTTGCCTCAAGCTGTTCTAATTTCTTCTCCTCTACACTTTTCAGTCAAACCAACCTCAAAGTGAGAAAGCAGCAAATTACATTTATCTGAAACACGCAAATAAATGTGAGTCATCAGCCTCTTTCACACTTCCTCCCCTGTCCTATTTCTGTCTCTGCCTCTTTCAGTATGTTTAGACGCATGGGATTACTTTGTTACTGCGAGCAACAACATTTAGGAAGTACTTTGATTAGATCCTTTACAGTAACTACATTTCCCCAAGAGAATCAGTTTCAACAATCAGCCGGACAGTCATGGAGCATGTTAGCATGGCCTGCTAGAAATTAAAAAAAAGATAATAGACTGACATTTTGTTTTATATATTATGTTGCATGCAGATTAATTTCATCTAAGTGTCCACTACTGACATAAAATAAAATGCACCAGTTTAACCATAGGTGATTGTTAGCGGATTGATAATAACCAACTCACACCATTTAGTTTTGTGTCTTGCTTTACTTTTTAGCCGTCTATATATTTCAGACAGTTTTCAGGTAACTCAACACGGCGTCTGTTCACCCGGTAACAGTGGATGAGTCAGACTCTAGTCCCACAGCAGCTAACTATGACGCATACCAGCACCTACACCTACACACACACACACACACACACACACACACACACACACACACACACACACGGACACACACACACACACACACATACCATGTATACATCACTTCAGGGGACATTACATTGACTTACATGCATTTCCTGGAGACTTATCCTAACCTTAACCATAACCAACACATGCCTAACCCTAACCCTTAACCTTACCCTTACCCTAATCCTAAACCTAACCAAGTCTTCACCCTAAAATGAATGATTCCCCTTATGGGGACCTCCAATTTGTCCCCATAAGGGAGGCGAGTCCCCACACGTGACTGTGTAAACAGATTTAGGTCCCCACAAGTATAGTAATGTTAGGCCACACACACACACACACACACACACACACACACACACACACACACACACACACACACACACACACACACACAGCTAATCACTGACCTATGAACTCAATAGCCTCCAGGAACCAGCAGCTGATGTCCTCTTTATGGTTGTCTTCCACAGGAATACACTTGTACTGGTACGCCCCCTCGAAGTGGTTGGGACAGTCGGCGGACACGTTCAGCAGGGCGGAGATTCCTGTGGCGTCCAAAACCTCTTTCTTTGAGGCGTGGAGGGCGCTGCCGAGGTAGAGGAACGGGAGGATCTCCACCGGGCCGCCCTGGACGGATGGAAGAGGGATGATTAATCAGTTGAAGAGACAGATTCTCAGTACTCATTCATTAAGTCATTTTTATTAAGAAACATCCTCTGACCTAACCCGAAGAGCCATGTTAGTCAGAAGTGACTTAAAGAGCTTACACGATGAGACAAATCATCCACTGTCTCAGTTCAGATGACTTCAGTATAAGTGTGGTCTCTCCTAAATATCTTCCTGATCATTTTGCCACGCCTTAAATCAGACAGGGGTAGCTTTGGATCTGTTTGATCAATCAGTCATTTGATAAGGGCTGTTCAGGTTCAAGCGGAGTCATTTTCTCAATAAGGAATCGTAGCTGTGATTATGAGCCAAGTGTACAGAAATATTATTGTGTTTTAATTTATCAGTACAACAGATGTTTCATGGGGGTTACATCCTGTCATGTTGCAATAAGGACACCTTGTACTTGTTCTGTCATTACACTCTACTGGTGGAAGATTGGTTTTACTCAATGATTTATGACACAGCATCAACTGAGCACACGGTGGCTTTCCCTAGAAACAGGAAGTATCTCACGGAGCAGAAGAATATGACCTGATCATAATCAGAACCATAAAGCATTCAAGGTAAAAAAAAAACATTATGACCTGGTGTTCTTTCAAAGCGTGTTCCAATGTAAGAGTAGTGGTCTTGTTTTCCCTTTTGAATGGATGTGAGGGGTCAGCCAGCTGTCAGTCTATACCGGTAGTGAGACTTATTGACAGAAAGCTCTGTCTGTTTATGTCACTGCCGCTGACGACCTCGTACTGACACAGCATCAGGATGTGATCAATACTGCTAAGAGATGTAATGTGAGGAGAGAGAGGGGGGGGGGGGGTGGACGCTGGGAGGAAAATGGAGAGTGAGATACCGAAAAACAGGAAGCTACTTTTAATGCTGAATAGTGCGGCCGAGACTATCGAGCATTCTTCTCAGAAAAAACGCACAGAGGCTGGATTGTCTGCGTCTCTTTCCTCATGCGTTTCGGGGGGGGGGGAATTAAACTCCCGAGCCTCATGTGACTGTGAACGTTGCATCAAATATGCAGGCTCCAAACAGCAGATCACTAACCAGCTAAACGAGACCGACCGGGTCACAGGAAGTGACGCAGAGGTGAATCAATACTGACCTATGACCTGTAGTGTAACCTATAACAAATAACAATATGACAAATAATAAAATATGACAAATAACTCACTCAAACAACAGAAAATATTCCCAGGAGGTTACATTGCTTTTATCTAGGGCTGCTCGATTATGGCAAAAATCATAATCTCGATTATTTGGGTCAATAATTGATATCACGATTATTAAAAACGATTATCCATTTACTTTGAAAACATCCATTTATTGAAGAAAAAAAAATGTAACAGTATGTTTTTAACAGTTGATTACCCTGAACTTTAAGTATAATTCAACTGAAAAACCAATAAAAACAAAATTAATTAAAAAAACAAAATTAAAATAATAATAGTTTTATTTCGATTACGTTGTTTTCGTAATCGTTGCAAGCCATAATCGTAATTGCGATTAAAATACGATAAATTGAGCAGCCCTACTTTTATCCTGGCATGGCCTTTACACTGACAAACAAGCTTGTAACTACACTGTCACTGCTCTCACCATCCAGACCGGATAAGGAAATGTGCTTGAATGGACGTGGGAAAGTGAACAAAAGTGATATTGCGAACCAAAAAACGTTGAGTGTTGTCGATGATTCAAACTAAACTTGACTTTTACAGGCTGTAACAATGAGTTGACTGAAGAGACATTACACTGACATTGGTCAATGTTAACTATATTACTTAAACAGTCCCTTAAGGGCTGATCATGTGTTGTTTTTACCTGGTCGTGGTGCGGCGTCCCACAAGACGAGCAGGAAGAGTCGACGCTGGACTGGTTGGTGAGGGGCGGTAAGGATTTGGTCTTTATACAAAACTCCGGGTACTCTGAGAAAAACCTGTCGTATCCACCTAGAAAAGAGACATCCTGATTAAGTACCATTCATCCTACATATCACATTAGACACAATCCGAGTGGGATATAATCACTACTTGGAAATGTAAGACCCTCCTGGAACAGTGATTTTTCTATGTGTGGGTGGGAGGGAGGGGAGTTTATATGCTTAGAACTCTACAGCAGCCTACATTACAATTGCTGCACAATCATACATACATAAGGTCTATTCCACCAGGCCCTGAACTACTCTCTCTTGTGGTTACTACCGTGGATTTGAAAACAATGTCGTCATCCCTTTTTTCTGCATCTGTAGGCTGCTCTGTGCACCTCAGGGATCACATCAGATGAACTGGGAAATGTCATCTTTATAAGCTACACACAGACTCTCCTGTGCTTCAAGGCGACTACGTCATTAGGATACGTATACAGAAAGAGTGCGCCACAGCTTGCAGCAGCTTTGCTTTTTTAGAATCCCTGCAGCCTAAATATATACTGGTGGGTAAATAAAGCGTTGATTTTTTTGTATTTTACAGCTTTTTATCTTCTATTTCTACCCGAAGGGCACTGTTTCTGAAATGATCATGTGCCCTGTAAGTCCCTCCGGTTTGATGTGGCCTCTACGCATTGGCATTACCTCATTCACTCAGCTCAGGCCATTGGTCTGTGTGTGAATGTGTTCAGCTGTGAGTGACTGAGTGAGTGTGTGTATTGTAGAAAAATAATAACACCAGTGGCAGTGCATACAAATAGAGTAGGCCCATTTAGGAGGACATGTCAATCTTTTGTTAATAAAGCAGAGCTACAAAAACACATACTCAGCCTTTATGAAGGCAATAAAAAACAATATTGAATGCCTGTGAAAAACTAAATAAACAATGACCCAGATAGGATGGTGGCATATTGAAATTCAACTTTTGATCAAATGTATAGCTATATTTACTATTGTAAAGCCTCAAAAAGAACATTATCATTAACGTGTCATTTTTATCCATTTAAAAATGTTTTTGTTTACTAACACAGAGAATTCTTTTCAAAGATAAGCTCCATTTGAATATGGATATATTATTACAAAACAACATTTACATTTTTAAAGATAACAAAACAATATATGTAGTCATTCTTTAGTTTGTTATTGCCTAATGTAAAGGCTGAATAAAGCATGTTTTAATCATTAATATAACAAATCTACTATTATACATTGTGCACATCTTTATTGTCCTACATTAGGGTTAAATCAAATAATAAATTAAGGCAGAATCCTACTGGTGCGAGTGTAGCTTATAATAATAATAAAATGATGCACCTGACCCCACGCTCAATAACAAAGCACTGTATTTACCTTTCAGCAGGTATATGAGTGTTCCGGAGGAGTCGCTGCACACTGCGTTGAGCACCAGAGTCAGCGTGCTGTCCTCCTTCACCGTCTCCGAGTCCGGCGTCCTCTCGTCGTACAGCACCACGGCGGAGTACATCCCGGAGCGGAGGCGTTCACGGACCTCCTCGTCCCCGGCCAGTATCTGGTCCAGGCTGAGCACGGAGCCCTTGGCCCTGCGGCGGACGATAGTGTTACAGCGGGCGTTGACGGCTCCGCGGATGTGTCCCGCGTTGAAGGCGAGGAAAGAGCGGCAGTCCAGCAGCAGGCACTTGGCACTGTCGTCCTTTAATAACCGCTTCACCACCGGGCAGTCCATCTCGCGTAGGTCCCCCATAGCACGTCGTATTTTGAGCTGCGTAGGTAGGCTTCACTGTCGGTTATCTCCTCGGTTTGGTTCTCGCACAGTGTGCCCGCACCACCCTCCGAAATGCAGTTCCTCCGTTTGATTTACTCTATTCACGTATTGTAAACGCACTACCCCTTGCTTATCAGGGAAGGAGATCAAGGAGACGAAGGTGTGTAGAGCAGAGAGGAGAGATAGATAGAGAGATGATAGAGCGAGATATAATGAGATCTATCTCTCAGATCGCGGATCTAGCTAGATCTCTCTCTCTCTCTCTCTATCTCTCTCTCTCTCTCTACTCTCTCTCTCTCTCTCTCTCTCTCTCTCTCTCTCTCTCTCTCTCTCTCTCTCTGGGTGTGCGTTGTTTCTCTTTTTCCCTGTGAATGGGTGCATCGCGTTGGAGCGGAAGTTACGTCAACCCCTAGCAGCCAATCAAAAAGGGTCCAGTTTCCCGTCCCCTTTTCTCCTCTGCCGTTCATTCATAAAATAAAAAAACAGACAGACATCAATGAAACGAGAGGCGATGGGGAAGGAGATTAGACTCCATGGGGGGAACAGTGAAGTTGGCAACAATCGCCATGTTTTAATCAGCTCATGGCCACATTGGAATACTAGTTTCTGATGATTGAATAAAAGGGTACAACGTACAAGACAAGACAGACATTGAATTATATATTAATAATATTTACTATTTTGGCCTAAATTCAAGTCTTTAAACGTGCATAATTACAATTTCCACATAATTAATCAAATTAATGAGAAAAGTGTGTGTGCTTGTATAATATATTAATACACTTTATTTATGTAGCTTTTCTAAAACAGCCCAGAATTTTTTTTAAATAAACATTTGTTATTATTTGAATATTATTTCCATTTAAGGTTCAGTGCAACTACTGCACTATTATATTGATATTGTCTGGTCGTGGTAAACTGAAAAATGATCTGGACCACATTAGGGTGTGCATACGTGCTCACAAGAACGTTTGTGTGTGTATGTCTGAGTCTGCATCTGTGTGTTTGAGGGTCTGTGATCCTACAAACGGAAACACAATTTGCATCTCCTATCACACAGCCTTGGTGAGTGTGCTCAGGTATTTGCATGTTGATCCCATTTCCATGGTTACGAGAGAAAAAAGAGCAGCACAGCAGCAAATTAAAACAGACTGGCTCCAAAAATGCAGACACTCAAGCCGAAAGAGAAATAATCTGATCATTATAATACTGTAGCATTTCCTAAATAGATGGATTTATTATGAATGGGTGTATGGGAAAAAAGACATGTCTTTCCTCGGGAATACTCAACTCTTCATTATTATCGGATATGCCGACAAGATGCAACTGATATAATACAAGTATATTCTGACAGTAAATGTGAAGTGACACCTGATAGCTGATGATCGGTATTAGAAACTGCTGACATTTTTAAATGTCATTTTTCCTGTCTGACAACAAAAGAGACTGTCTAGACTCCACATAAAGCAAAACCCCAAAAGAGGAAATGTTGCTTGGATATAAGAACACAACAGAAAAACATTATTTAGGCATTTAGCAGAAAATGAAAGAAGTCTTTTGTAATATGTGAAACTGTATGAAATGTAACTACATTAACTTGGAATGACTTGCAATGGAGTATGTTGAATTGAAAGTGAAAAGAGTCACTCAATGCATAAAATGATGTATACCATGTCCTTAATTTGTGCATGTAGTTTGCTACGTGGCAACATTATGCGAGTACTTTAAGATAGAGAGGTGGGATGGAAGGTGGAGAAAGAGACAGCGGCAGTCAAAACAGGGATGAAGAGGAGAAGATGATGAGAGAGATGGACGAGGGACGGAGATGGGGGGGGGGGATAGAGTAAGAAAAAGCTTGAGCTTGATTGCAGTCTTTAGTGTCCCATATAAACACACACAGACACCACGCCACATTACAACCAACCCTAAATAATGCCTCTCAATGGCGGGATGGTGCTGCTACCGTAGCAACAAGGGAGAGGTGTGGGAGGGCAGAGACATCAGGCAGGGGGCTACAGGGCGATTGGCTGGAAACAGACTCTGTACGGATTTCACCCCTCCCTCCCTCCGTTTCATCTTGTCAATCCATTCCCCCCTTAACATCCCTCGCCTGCATGCCGTCATCCATCAATATAGTGGAGAGAGAGAGGGTATTCTGTTAATGAGCTTTGCACACGTCAGTGTTGATAAGTATCTCTCATATTCCTTGTTTACTCAATGTTCTGCCCTCTAATCCCGCGTCTTTTTCTCTCCTGTTTCTATATTGTGTTTTTTATTTGTGTTTCTCTTTTACAGGCACAGTGTGTATTACGTGATTTTTCGTGTAAATGTGTTAACATTTCCCATTTGTAGTCCCTAGACAGGTGTTACAGTGTTCTCAAAAACAGCTAAGCAAACATATAAATAGGGACCATTATTGTTAGAAAAGATTATAAGGGCTTTAGGGTAGAACATAATCATGCTACGTGTTAAGTACTTAACAAAAACATGCAACACAGAAGAATGTGTAATTTGTGCAGGAAACCAACAGAAAATAAAGGCCAAGATATCCTGACACACAATAATTATATCATTCTCATTCGCAAGAGAGCCAGTAACTTTAAACTGTCAAACCATTTATTTGAATGGGCTTTACATTTGTAGTTTGTAATATAGCTGTGGTTCAAATGTATGATATATTTAAACAGTATATACAATATAAATGGTGATTGATGCATAGTACTGGGAACTGCTATTGCTATAGTAGGGAAAACCTGAGAACAAATTAAGTTGTCAAGACAGGAGAATTAAACCACACCAACACACCATAGAAAACAACACACACTTTACCAAGTGTTTGTGTGTGTGTTTGTGTGTGTAATGCATGTGTGTATGTTCCAGATCAACCCCACTCTCTAATCCCATAATCCAGTGGTTAAGCCTTGACTGAGTGCCGCAACATTTTCATGAATGAGGTTGTGTCGTTTGTCATGTGTCTGTGCCAGTGTGTCGATACAAGCAGAGAGAGAGAGAGGTATGAAGGATAAACAAATGTGTGTGTGTGAATATATGAGGGATGAGAGAGGCTTTAAGGACACAGACAGCAGAAAGAGAAAAAGGGAACAGAGAGAAAGAGGGTGAAGGATAGAGGCAGGGAGAGCTGAGCAGCGGAAGTGAGTAAGTGGCATGGTGGGGGTTGTTACTCAGTTTGGAGCTGATCCATATTTTCTTCCTGAGACACATTCTCGTGGCTGACAGACAACACCTCCACTGGAACGACCAAAGAACAAATATGATATTTTTCCACTCTCCATTTGAAATAAAAACAGCAACAAACAGCATTTTTTTAAATCAAAAATATGCAACAGGGGATGATAAATAAATTACTTTTCAACTCCAGGGGAAAGAAAACCTGGACTGCTGTTTTGGATGAAAACACATGATGCCAATGCTTTTGGGAAATGTCTTTGGGTTGATGTTTTTCCAGAGCTGTTGTGGGAGACACTTCTGGTTAATGAGTAATACAGATAACCAGCATGCTTATCCCCATTGCAATGGCCCAGCTTGCAGAACACACACACAGATACAAGGTCATTGCACTGAATCCCTTCCTGTCTGGACCTCACATGCTAACCTAGTGAACTCAAGGCTGCAGGCTCTCTGTCGGCACACACACACGTACCTTATTGCGTTTTGCTCCCACTGGTTTTTGTGAATGGTAATTGTGAGTTCCTTATTTGGTTGTTTGCGTTGCCTACTTCCTCCTCAGCCTTAAGTGCACGTACTGCCCTATTTGACTATCCATGGTTCACCAACGCATCAGAAACAACATCCCAGAAAACCTGGATATGCCCCAGTTTGCAAACAGAGACAACAGAGAATGCTGTCTCAGCTGCCCATCATCTAAAAAATAACAACACCTATGTCAGAATGCTGTTTGTTGATTTCAGGTCAGCAACAAAAGCCCACACATTAAACTAATTGGCAAACTTAACACTGAGTTTTGAGTACTACACTCTGCAACGGATATTGGACTTCTTCACAAACAGACTTGAGGCAGTTTGGATGGTCGGTCACACCTCTTCCACTTTAGTGACAAACTCCGGAGTCCCCCAGGGCTGTATGCTCAGACCTCTCCTGTTTCCTCAAGACTATAACCCCCAACATGAAGAGAACATCTCCATCCTGGTAAAAACAGGCTGTATTTCTTAAGGAAACATAACAAGGCATAATTCCTCCAAGTTCTTGTTGACTTTTACAGAGAAGCAATAGCGGGCATTCTGGAAACATAATAAACTGGCATGGGACGGGTACGGCCAAGGACAGAAGGGCTCTACAGCAGGAAATGAAGACTTTGCAGAATACCATTGGCCCCATTCACTTAGCATCACATTGGTGAGAAGAGGTGCCTGCAAAACCCAAAGCAAATCCACTGCCTGTTTACCCTTTAGAGAGATTTAAAAAAAGTATCCGCTATGCACTACCAAACTACAGAGCAGCTTTTCCATCTCAGAATGTAAGATTGTTTTACTTATCCTCCACAATTTTGTTTTACCTTATGTAGCAATTTAGTTTGCGAGAAAAGTATATTCTTATTTGATGTTTTTAATTTCTCTATCTCTCGTAGTTTCTGTAATAACGTGAATGAATGTTTTTCCCATATTGTAATATTTTCTTATACCATGAATGGCGAAGGACCTCTACGGTGTTTTTGATAGTGGTACATGCTAATGCTTAGTTCCTAGTAGTGTGAGCAATACTGATCAACACTTCTTATGTCCATGGAAACCAATGTGAAGAACAGTAAAGTATAACACAAAGTGTACATTACATAAAGGACCGCATTGATAGTACTGCTTTACCAGTAGCATGACATGTTCAACCCTAATCTTCACAACACACTTCACACACTCACAAAAAAACAGTTATTCCTCATTCAAATGTTGGTGTGTGTTTTGAATAGTCAAAGCAGCACAGGATGAAACGATGAGATCATATTCAAACAGATATTTTCTCAAACCTCTGTAACACAGGGGCATGTGTGCAGTCAAGCATTCTTGCTACACCTACAGCATTTTCAATCTACGAAGCCAATACAAATATTGTTTTAGTAAATGAGAGAAGTTGAACATAGCCTGGAGGAAGC